GACACAGCGCAGTCTCTCACTGACACCAGTCTCACACTGACACAGCGCCGTCTCACATCGCCACACCAACACAGCACCGTCTCACACCGACACACGGACACAGGCTGACACTCTGACACATGGAAACAGACTGACACTCTGACACACAGAAACAGACTGACACTCTGACACACGGAAACAGACTGACACTCTGACACACAGACACAGGCTGACGCTCTGACACACTGGCACACACGGACACAGACTGACACTCTGACACACGGAAACAGACTGACACTCTGACACACGGACACAGGCTGACACTCTGACACTGGCACACACGGACACAGACTGACACACGGAAACAGACTGACACACGGACACAGACTGACACTCTGACACACGGACACAGGCTGACACTCTGACACACTGGCACACACGGACACAGACTGACACTCTGACACAGACTGACACTCTAACACATGGACACAGACTGACACTCTGACACACGGACACAAGCTGACGCTCTGACACAAAGACACAGGCTGACGCTCTGACACACTGGCACACACGGACACAGACTGACACTCTGACACATGGGCACAGGCTGACTCTGACACACGGACACAGGCTGACGCTCTGACACACGGGCACAGACTGACACATGGACACAGGCTGACACTCTGACACACGGACACAGGCTGATGCTCTGATACTCTGACACTCTGACACACGGACACAGGCTGACACTCTGACACACGGACACAGACTGACACTCTGACACACGGCTACAGACTGACACACGGACACAGACTGAAACTCTGACACTCTGACACACGGACACAGACTGACACTCTGACACTCTGACACTCTGACACACGGACACCAGCTGACACTCTGACACTCTGACACCAGCTGACACTCTGACACAGGCTGACACTCTGCTCTCTTGCAGCAAATACTGAACTGCGCCCTGGACGACATCGAGGTCTTCGTGGCGCGGCTGCAGAAGGCTGCAGAGGCCTTCAACCAGCTCAACCAGAGGAAGAGGAGCAAGAAGAACAAGAAGAAGGGGCCTGCTGGTACAGCT